TGCAACCTCGACCTGCTGGGCTCCGGCGATCCTTCCGCCTCAGTCTTCCAAGTAACTGGAACTACAGGCAAGCGCTACCACGCCTGGCTAATTTTTTGATTTATTGTAAAGATGAGGGCTCGCCAAGTTGCCCAGACAGGTCTCGAACCCGTGGGCTCAGGCAATCCACTCACCTCAGCCTCTCAAAGCGCGGGATTACAGGCTGAGCCACCAAGCCCGGCTCCAGATGGTTTTATATGATGTTGTTCTCTGATTTTTAAAGAAATTTTCCTTTCCATTTGATGTAATTAGAAAGTAATGGAACATAAAGAAGATATCTCGGTGAATTTTATGAATTTTATGATACCAAAATCTAAAAACGAGAGTAGAAGAAATTATAAAAACAAATCTCATGTGTAAAAACTCCAACGAAATATGAGCACATCACATAGAGTCGATGTGAGCACATGAATGACACCAGATTGTTTTTACACACACATGACAGTGGTGTCATATTAAGAAGTGTGTTACTAGAGGATGCCTCTAGGCACAGGCCAACAGGAGCCCTGATGCACTCCAACATAAATTTCTGATATCAAGAAATAAAAAGAGTAAAACAGGAACAGACAGACACCTTCCCCACATCACAGTTGTCTCAGTGCATCAGCTGACGCTGTACGTAAAGACAAAATATAAGTAACAAGAAAACGCAGGAAGCCTGTTACTGGAGCCATGATTTAACTGCACACTGGCAGGTGCAGCCTTGGCGCCATGAAATGCTGCTTTGGCAGAGTCACTTGTGAGGTGGGTCAAAACGGAATTTTTCTATTAAGGTGTGTATTGATCAGTGTCTATAGGTGCTTGACTTTGGGGGAAAGACGTGTCTCTCGCTCAGTAGCCTTGTGTCAGCCAGGCATGGTGCCTGCCACTAGGCTTCTCGGGTGCAGCCCCCTACAGCACTGAGCCGAGGTTAGGAACAGCCTGGAAGCTTTATCATAGCCAATGTCCCAAGGCCGGGAAAGGATCGTGACTAACCACAAGGGTGAGAAAAACAGCAATTTAAATGATCGCCATGTGAAGTGATTCATAATGTGTTTGATGTAAAGGAGTTTTGAATATAATAAGAACACAATAAAATTGTCAAGAAGTCACCACTTTTAGATAAACCTTGCCATTAAAAAAATAATAGAGTGATGTTTGTTGTGGAGGTTAGAACATTTGAACGAATGTGTATAGACTGGTACCAGATGACAACCCAAAGACTGGTGCCTTCAGCCTGCCCAAGCATGGGTCATGCTTTAATGCTATCTAATTTTCTTCCAGAAATGCATATTGTGTTTTATTTATGCAGGAAGAAATAATCCTTTAGAGATGAAATTATTTTCTTTAGAGAGAATGAAAGAAAAACATCTACAGTAAAGCCATAGCCATCATTTTCCCTGTAACAGCAACAATTATTTTGCAAAGAATATGAGAGAAAAGATCCCACTCACAAGTAACAAAATCATAAGTGATCCAGGAATAACAATAAAAATGCACAAAATTAAAGAAGCTAACCCACAAGACTAAAATCTGTGAAACATAAATGCAGGCAAAGATGTACTTGCATACAATTATGGGAATCTCAATATCACACAATATCATTTTCTGGGATTAATCTACATTTTATCTTTCCAATCAAAAT